AGGATGGCCGCATCCATCTCTGCGTCGCCTGCCGCAACGCCCAGAAGAGCGAGGCCACCCGAGACCTGATTCTGGCCAGCCACCCGGCCGCTCAGGTCTCCACCGTGGAGGTGGACCTGGGCAGCCTGGCTTCCGTGCTGCGTGCGGCCCGTGAGCTCCGCTGCAGGTACCGGATCTCTGTCCTTCACCCACTGCACCCCTCTCTTGCCTGCTTGCCTTGTGTCTCTCACTCCTGTGCTCTTCCCCACGCAGGTTTCAGCGGCTGGACTTTGTCTACCTCAACGCTGGGATCATGCCCAACCCACACGTGAACTTCAAGGCACTCTGGCATGGTCTGATCACCGGGTAGGAGATATTAGGGGGCCTGGTCCCCAGCCTGTGGGCAGTATGGGGTGCTGACAGTGTCACAATGGCCAAGGTGTGCCCTTGGGTCTGGGGCTGAAGATCCCAACTCCCTTCCCCAGTGTGACACAGAGCACACCCCTGTGGGATGCATAGTCTTGCATGGGGTGGGCAAGGTGAGGTGCTGGGGTGCTCCAAGTCACCTTGTGCTGCTTCTGATCACTGGTGTGGGGTCCGCTGTGTGTCAGTGTTGAGTGAGGGTTCACCCAAAGCCTGCTGCTCCTGGTGCTAGGTGTTGAGTGAAAAACACTGGTGTGGTGTTGGAGAGGTGAAGTTTGCTCTTTCAGGGCCTCCTTCCTGTTGTTTTGGTTCCACTGTAAGTTTTTGTAGCTGTTCTCAGCTGTACATTGTGGTGTGTTGTGCTGCTAGTGGTTGATGTTTATTCTATAAGCACTGTGGGGATAAGCACCATTAGCCTATAAACAACATGGGGAAGTTTTGGGCTAAGGAGCAAAGCAACTTCTGTTGAGTCAAATACGATGCTTGGGGTGTGGAACGTAGATGCTAGACTGCTTTCCTTATTTGTATTAGGCTTAGCTCTAGGGTTTAGTTTCATTCTGGAACTTGATTTTGTTATCAAAATGTGAAATGGAAAAGCAACACTTTTTTTAATGGTACTTCACGGTAGTGACGTGAAGTAAAGAACAAGTCTTCTCTGGTCTAGTCAGTATTGAGGCACTTGCAAATAAAGGCACTGGGATTCTCTGTAAACTTTTTCCAGCTATTTTTCAAATTGATTAATAAAGCTTTTCGCGGTGGAAACTAGAGCAGTAGATGCCTTATGGTGTTGTTCCTCTCTAACTCCCATCCTTGGCTTCCAGGAAGCTGCTTCACATGCTGACCACTGCAGAAGGCGTAATGACCCAGACGGACAGGCTTAATGGAGATGGACTGCAGGAGGTGTTTGCTACCAACCTCTTTGGACACTTTATCCTGGTGAGGCTGTGTATGAAGATTGAGACCTTGGTATGGTGGCTGATGTGGGTAGGGATGGATGCAGGCGGTACTGATGAACCAGTTCTGGCTTACAAGTTCGGATGCTGATACAGGCTGCAGCCTGACAAATAAGGAATGATAGGGTAAAGGTCTTGGGCTCTGTTAAAATAGCACTAAGTGTTAGTTGTTGTTGCAAGGGTTAATATAATCTTGAGGCTACTCTGGTTAGTCAGTGGATAGAGGTCCAGGGCAAGTATCAAGAGCTGGCTATATTAAATTCTGAGGTGCTTAACTGAGCTGTGCAAGAGAATGGTGGCTGATTGTAAATGATCCTGGTGGACCTTGGGCTGAAGTTATAGCTAAGCAGTGGCTGCTTCTGGCTTGTCTAGGGGAGACTGGCTAAGACTAGGAAAGCTAAGAAGCGGACAGCTTTTAAGAACTGTAAAGCTGTACTGTGAGACTTTAAAATTGCTGCATTAAATAAGATAACAATTCTTTTGCAGGTTCGCCAACTTGAATCTCTACTCTGTGGTAACGAAAAGCCTTCACGACTCATCTGGACCTCTTCCAGCAATGCCCGGAAGTCTGCCTTCAGCCTTGCTGACTACCAGCATGCCAAGGGACAGGAATCATACAGTTCCTCCAAATATGCTACTGACCTGACAAGTGTGGTTTTGAACAGGAAACTTAATAACCAGGTGATGATCGGGTCTGTATAGCTGAAGAAACCTGATGAGCTCCTACAATTTGTAATTATCATCATGTTGTTGTTACCTAGTTGCATTCATTTGCATATTATGGACCACATCAGATTGCTACGTGTAGGAAATAAACACAGCTGAGGTTGAGCCAATGGTGTGGGTGGTGGAGAATCTGCCAGGGATATTGCTTCTGGGACTCTTGGCCGTGGATTTTAGCTGAAAGCAGAAGCTCTTAGGAGCAGTCCTAAGTTGCAAGGTCCTGCTGTCTCTTTAGAGCAAAGAACTGGTCTTAAAGAGCAAAGAGCTGCCTATCAGAACAGGGCTGTTGGGCAGCTTTGCCTCCAAGCACTTGAGGTGTAGGCTCTGCTCTCCGTGGTGGTTACTCAAGCTTGCCACACTAAGATGCACAAGCAACCTGCTGTCCCTGTCATGGAGGATTGCCAGATTTCACTGACAAGCTGCAGCCCTAGTCCAGTGATAGCGATTCCATGTTTTTGAAATACTTCAGGAGAAAATAGTTTAGTCCTAGAGGGCTGAACTCTTATCTCTTACAGGTGAGGGAGACTTTGATCTGAGCAGGCTGTCATTTGTGGGGTGGTTGCTATTGCTGCTGAGCTTCACACAGACTGCAATGTGAGATCATGATGTGTTGGGTGGCTGCACCTACTGTCTTGTGGGCTTGTAATGGGCACAGATTTGATGTGAATGTCTCCAATTTGAGACCCCTCCAAAATTACTACATCTAATCACTCTCTGCATCTGGTAATTTTAGAGAGGAGAGTATTTATTATTCTCTGGTCTCTATATGCACCTTCAGCTTCTTGCTGAGAAGTACTTGGAGGGAAGGGGTATCATCCATTCTTAAACTAATTATTGTTTTTTGCAAACTGCTTTCTTCTCTGCAGGGTCTATATTCCAGTGTTGTTTGTCCTGGTCTCGTTATGTCTAATATGACATATGGAATTTTGCCGGTTTTTCTGTGGAAGCTGCTAATGCCCATCATGTGGTTGGTAAGTGGAACTCCTGGCTGCTTTGGGGGAGTTTTGGGTTGAGATAGCCCTGCAGTGATGCACTTCAGAGCAAGTGATGTGCAGCATGCCTCTGGCTCCTTGCTTCCCATGCTGCTGTACAGTTCTTCTGTTGGACTGGGTAGGCTGGCCCCTTTGAAGGCCTTCCCTTTGACCCCCTGGGGCCCCAGTTTCCAAGCAGAGTTCCTCTTACCCCCTCAAAGTGCTGGACAGGCACTGTACATAGAGACCGGGTTCAGCCCTTCAGCCATAGCAGTGTTTGTCAAGACTCACCTTAGAAGGTTTGCCAGCCTGTTGTGGGCTTGTAAAATCCTATCACTTTAGTGGCAGCAGAGCTCAGGACAAAACTTGGCCTCTGTGCCTTGAAATGCTGTTTGTTTCTACAACAGACTGTATTTTTCAGTGTTGTTCTTTCTGTCTCTCTGGAAAGAAAAGCCTCCTGCTCTCTGCCTTTTCATCTGCTTTCACAAAACTTTCCTTGCCTTTCTTCCTCTGGGCTTCAGCTTTTCAGGTTCAGTGCAGTTCTGTCCCTGAAGGCTGGATGCCTGGTGCTGCAAGATTGGCCTTCCTGCTTAAGCAGCCCCGGCTGGCAGCAGCTAATCCTGATGGATCACATTTCTCCTGGCAGGGAGAGGCAATGCCTTCTCACTTGTCCTCAACACTGGCAGTGTTGTGGATCCTCTCTGCCTCCTGCCTGATGTGCTCTTGAGATCATTCAAGAAGAGGTGCTTGCAAGGCATGTGTGTGGCCTGTTGTCTCCTGCTTTTGGGGTGAGCTCTGTGTTGGGGGCATGGAGCAAGGCTCGCTGGTCTGTTGGGTGGCTCCAGACACCAGAGTTTGTGGTGATACAGGGACGCTTTAGTCATAAGTGTGCAGTGCTACCTCTGGTCAACTTGGAGAAGTGCTTCTTCGTCTGGTAGATGATCTGATGTGGCTGGGCTGCAGAGAGCTTTCCAAAGAAACCTTGAGCCAAAACACAGATTGTGTCATGTATTTGTTTTCCCCTCAGATCCGCTTTTTTGCAAAGACTTACACTCTGACACCATATAATGGAGCAGAAGCTCATGTAAGTAGTTCACAACTTGATTTTAATATTCCTTCCTTCTGGGTAGCTCTTCAGGAGTCTGCTGGTTTGAACACAGAGCCTCCTGGTGTGGCTGGCGGGTGGGTGGTATATTTAACCCCTGCATAGCATGCAGCAGGGAGTGCTGGGGGGACCAGCTATGATGCTTTATAACCTTCATCAGATGTCCATTAAATTATTTTGGAAAAACACTATTCCATCCATCTTAGGGAGAATGCTGCTCTCCCTGTTGGCAGTCAGGCAGCCATCGGCATGCAGGCATGGAAATGAGTAATGTCAAGCACAGTAGTGAGGAAGTTTAGCCATGTTGAGCTCCCTCAGTGGTCTAGCACTGGGGTATAAGCATGGTTTACTGTTGGCTCAGGTGGATCATGAGGGGAGCCAGCTCAGACCTTCTTCTCTGGATACCCAGTCTTCTGCTGCTTGGTGAAAGCCCCTGTGATGTGTTCTCCTGTGTCCATTGGCAGCTGGGTCCTTGACTGCAGGCTTGGCTGGGGCTGTGTGTGGTAGACTCATACACATTTGTGCTGTTCTCCCTAGGTGTGGCTGTTCAAACAGAAGCCAGAGTACCTGGATGCGCTTGTCAAATACCACAGTTGTACTTCTGGACTGGGGAAGAGCTACGTGGAGCCCAGAAAGGTAAATGGAGCAGCAGCCTCCTGCTGGAGGGCACTTGGCTTGGGGGCTGCCACCTGCCTTGCATGGAAGAGATGGTGCCAAGGGTGTCCTGTGGCTGGAGTGGAAACAAGATGCATGTTGAATGCTGAGCAGCAAGTTGGGACATGGGGTTATCTGTGAGGCTTCCTTTCTTCCTTTCCTGGCTGCCAGCCTCAAGCTGGAGTCTTGAAGGCAATGGAGAACAATGGTCAGAACAGGATGAATGTGTGATGATGCTTTCCCAAAATATGTTCTGGCTGGTGCCTTGGTGATCGATGCCTTTGGCTTCCTCTCTGAATGTAGAAGTTCTGGATATGCACCTTGCTATCTCCCGAGCTGCCCTTAGTGTCTGTGTTGGTTGCCACTAAGGTGATGGGCTCACAGTGCTGTTCTTATTGTCTTACAGATTGACGTGGATGAAGAAATTGCTGAGAAATTTTTTCAAAAGCTGTTGGAACTGGAGAAGGAGACTCTAGAGAGATACAGTGATCTCCTAGATTAAGCTAGTCTCAGTGGAATAACAGTCTTGTATCTGTAACATGGGCTTTCTTCATTTTGGTGCTACTTGTGATGCCTGCTGTTCTGCAGGCACATGGTTTCAGACCCCGTCTTCCTTCTCAACAGAAGGTGAACAGTTCCTGAAAGTGGAATTGTGAAAACTGAAGAGAAATACTTAGTCTTTTTGGTATAGGATATTTTTCTGTCGTAAAACTGGAGACCTAGAGTAGATGGAGACTGTCTTAACACAGTTGCAAAGCAGTGTCTTGCAAAAGCATGCCTGAACTGTGCACAGTTCAGGAGCAGCCTCAAAACATGTGGTTTAAATCTGGCTTAATGCAGGAAAGGCAACAGTTTGGGGTGCTGCCCTGCATTTTTGCTCTACCAGTCTTTCTAGATAGCTTGAACACATTACCTGTGGCTGATCCTGAAGTACTTGAAGAGCTGCTCTTCATTTGCACATCAAAGCTGGGGCCACCTTTCCAGATGTACTCAACAAGGTTGAACTTTGCTGGAAGTCAGCCTTTGCACAGCATCTGAAGCAAAGCTCCTGAAGAGCTGGCCTGAGAAGTGCACACCTTGCCTCAACTGTAAGGACAGATGCCTTGCTGTCCCCTGGGTATAGGAAACATACATATTTATGTTCCAACCACACCTGCCTGGAAAGACTGAAGCTGTTGATGTGAACTTGGGCTCAGGGCTAGTCTTTCCTGTTTGTAGCAAGAGTGAGAGGTTGCCATGTTATTTTATCTATTTAATTCTCTTTTTATATAAATTTACTGTATTGAGTATTCTTCCTGTTGTCTGTCTTCACCAAGTACCTGGTGTACTTCAAATGCTGCAATGAATAAATGACGAACTGACTTGTCCTTGCTGCAGTGGTGTTTTTACACCAGGAGCTTAACTGCTGATTCTGAGGGCTGGAAAGGAATTTTATTTCCATTGCTTTGCACAATAAGCCTATGCGTAACTGGGAAGTGTGGTATCTCTTCTTTCCTGCCACAGCAGAGCTGCTAACTACCTATTTGGGCTTATTTCTGTTGTTCCTTCTGGTTAATGAGAGACTGGAGTGACTCTGGAACACTTGAGTGTGGTTTTGTGTGTTGAGCACCTGTGGGGTGTCTGAGACTATGCCCCAGCCTTAGACATTTGGGAGACAGAAATGTCTCTGGTGCTTGCTCACCCTCATGTGACACGTAATTACTGATTTAATACTCCCTTACTAGGGAGCATTATTCTGCCCAGACGCCTGGCAGGGGCCAGCTGAGGTTAGGAGAGAGGAGGCTGGGTGGCACAGCCGTGCATCACCCCAGCTGTGGTGGAGGCTCCCTGAGCTCTGGAGCTGTGGCTGCTCTGCTCAGGCCAGTGCATCCTGCTGGGATGGCTGGTGTGCCTGCTAGGGTTAGCTCAGCGTCTCTGGGGGAAACTGCGGAAGCACAGAGCTGGCACTCTGGAGAGCTCAGGCTCTCCAAAGAGTCGTCATTGAGTTGGCTTGTGAGACAGACTTAAAGAATCTTGCTTTTATTTTTTTCCCCCCTTCATTTCTTTCACCCCAACTGTTTTTGAGCATTTCTGCTAGATAGAGAGGTACTGATAGCTTGGTTGAGTTTGAGCTGAGGAGCACCTCTCGGCTCAGTCCTCATGCGAATACCTGAGCAACTAGTGTTGATGTGGGTGGGAACATACCCTGGTTTTGTCTGACTTGGTGACAAAGTGAGAAGTTGGCCATTGTGGAGCAGTGCTTTCCTTGGCTATGGCTGCAGCTGTTCAGAGTTGTGAAACAGATTGGGTGTGCTTATATGGAGCTTTATTTAAGTACAATAAAGTCTGTCCCAGCACCAGGCCTGGGTGCTGTGGCTTTTTTCAGCTGTGTCCTGAATGTCCCTAGGGCTAAAACCCTCACTTTCTGGTGCTGTTTCTTCTCTGTGAGGAAGGAGTCGGTGGCTGACTGTCTCTTCAACTTGGTGTGCTTCATCCTCGCAACATACTACAGCAGTATTTGGCTCCTTGTTCTGGAGACTAATTAAGCATGTCATCATCTTGGTTGATTTTAGATGAGAATCTTGAACTTTGCTATGCTTCTGCCTTCGGCTATAGTAGGTATCATCCACCTGCTCCACCTTTAGGATTCCTCACCTACCCTGAAGGCAGAGGTGCTCAGTCATTCCTTACGCCTGCTCTGACTGCTCTCCCATCTTACCCCTGCCTCATTTTCTTTCTGGGTTGAGATAAATGACACCGCAAATGTTAATCAAAACCATCTGACACAATGCTTCATGAAATGAGTGCAACTTGATGGGAGTTGGGAAGGACAGGGCTCCTATGCTGAGCTGATCACTGGTATTGTCAGTACCAGCTGCATCCTGGAATAGTGTGACAAACATCTAGGATAGGCAGAGATTAGTGAGCATAAGTAGGACCTCAGGTTTTTTTTTCTTCAAGTGTGTGTTTGTGGGCTGAAATTGTGCATTTATTGGGGGAAGTTGTGACTGATGCTGAAGCACAGAGAAGCTGGTGAGGGGAGAGGAGGCTTTGAGTTATCCACAGTGTTGGTGTGCAGTAGAACTATGAATGTGTTTCTGGGCTTATCTCAAAAGCACACTGTAGCTCTCCCTTGAGGATCTGGGGTTCAGAGTTAGAGAAGTGTGTCTCTGTCCTGTTGTGTCTCTGCATGGTTTTGTTTCACCTCCTTAGTTGCTGTGGAGGCACCTGGTGTGCTGTGATATATTTTACATCCTGGGAGACGCAAGGGTGGGACTCAGGAGTTGTGGGGGATCTGCTGCAGCATGTGGTTGGGGTGGGCGCAAAATGGCCTCTGGAGATCTCTAGCTCAGCTTCCTGCTTGAGCAAAGTTACATGAAGAAGGAACAAAAAGTGCTAAAGCACAGTCTGAGCCCTGGAGAGATTGGACAACCTGGAAAGACAAGATAAAGCTTGTAGTTTCCCATGTTTGGTGCTACATGAAGCTGGAGGTGCACTATCAGCCCAGGTGTCTCCAGAAGACTTCTGTTCAGTTGAAGGAGATGCTCTAGTGTCCTACAGTGCTGGTCACAGGACCCCACTGCTCTGAAGGGGTTTCTGCCTGCTTTTGTGACACTAGGCATTGTCTGTGCTGCTTCTGCAGAAGGAAACTTGGCTGTGCTCAACCTTGCCTTCTGCTTCCCTCCTCTGTTTTGTGAGAAGCTGAACATCTTTGCATCCAAAGGATGGGACTGTTCTGTGGGATGGAAACCATAACCACCACTCAAGTTTCATCCTTTGTCCTGAAAGTGCAGGTGAGACCTGGTGCCTTGAAATGGAGACTGCCCAAAGGGCAGAGCGTGGCTCAGTTGTTTGTTACCTTCTGTGAAGCCAGCCCAAGGGATGCCATGCCATCTGGTTTGGCTGCCTACCACCTACTCAGATGACTGCGAGCAGAACTGGCTGATCTCTGGAGCTGCCAGTCTGAAGGCAGGGATGGCTCCTCGCGCCCTGCTCTTGGCTAACAGGTGCTTATGTATGGAGCTTAATCCCTCGACTAATCCTTTCTGGCCAACAGGTAGACTCAGGCATGAAAACACTAATGGAGAAACAGTAACTGGGTCAAGGAGGCAGGCAGGTACGTGTATCTGTCAGCCTCTTCCCAACACGCTCCTGTCCCCTCGCCTTTGCTCACCAAGGTAGCAGAGACCCTGCTGATGCCATTGTGTGAGTCAGGTGCCTCTGTTGAGGTTGGACACATGGAGTTGTTGAGCCCTTTGTGCAATGAAAACAGGTCCTGACTGGAGCATGGGGCCCTGTGGCAGAGCCAGGGGTGACGTAGGGTGGTGAGAGATGCCAGGTGTGGGATGGGAAGAGCCCACAGCAGCAGCTGTGAGTCAGTGCTAAGACAAGAGCTTTTTGTTTGCCCTCCTTGGATACAGAGCTTTCCAGAGATGTTCTGGGACAGGTCTTGAGTATCAAAACTCGATGAGATTGATTTTTTTTTTTCGTGTGTGTCTTGTGCAATTGGGCTGTGAAATCTAATATCTAACCATTATGCCTCAGCCTGAGTCACCGGTTTCTTGCCTTCATGGGTTGAATGTGTTGCCTTGCTCCAAGCAGAGTTCCAGTCCTTGATTGCTTTATAGCTCAGTTGGCTTTCAGCTATGTAGGGCACCTATAATAAGGGCATGAGTGGGAACTGCAGCCTGAGCCACGGCCAAGGGAGGAGAAAGCTTGAGATGGTGTGGCAGGACCCATGACTGGGTGACCTTCGCCTCTCCAGGAAGGGAAGACAACAGGATTGAAGGAAACATCAAGGACCAGCCTGTAAAGGGGTGCGTATGATAGAGCCAGCTTGTGTTGAAACATCCAGGGTTAACCTTTGAATGACAACTTAGATGTTGAAAGTGCTCAGAGAGGGGCTGCCCCAAGGGGCTGGAGGGAGAGAATAGAGCTGGGGAAACGTGGTGGGTCTGTCTGGCAGGGAAGAGCAAAGAGGGACATGTATCCAGGTGGGCTTTGCTGAGAAAGGGCAAATTGTAGAGCCCCAGGAAGTTTTTGGCTGGAAGGGAGCTATCATACCTTCAGTCAGCCCTGCTCTGAGTGGGGATGGCCTCATGGCTGGACCAGACAGCTCAGGGATGTGTCCAGGTGAGCCCTGAAGTCTCCAGGGTTGAAGACCCCACAACCCCCATGGGCCCTGTCCCAGAGCTGCTCCCACACACCACCCCACTTTGCATCTTCCCAGGGGAGAGTAAGGCTGAATTGCTTGAAGGGTGAGATGTCGGAGGTTTGGGGCAGACGTGTGCCACGTGGCCAAGGAAATCGGAATGGCCAAAAAGAGCCAAGACTGCCTTGCAGGGTCAAGGAGGCTTTTCAGTGTTGCTTTGCAAAACACAGAGCTGTGTCCAAAGGAGAAACCTCGAAGGAGAACTGGTGAGTAAGCTCAGGAACAGCTTGTAAGAAAAATCAGAATAAGTAGTAAATCCTTTATCTAGCTCATCAATTGGTGCTTCTGCGTAAGAGCAGAGCTTGGAGAGGCTGTGGTGC